ATATCTGACTCTTTTAGTTTTAGGACTTACAAACAACCGTTATGTGAACAAAACTATAATACTCTCTTTAGCAACTTTGTTGCGAGAGTATAAAAAAACACACAAGTAGGGAGCCTCGAAATGGATCACACTTTAATATGTGAAAATATATTTAACATGGTAACTATTATTGTCTAGTTTCAAATTTCTCTTTATTTTCTTTCCAGCTTATACGCCTAACTTTAGCGTCAAATGAAAGGAGTTTGCCACTGCGTATACGTGACGTTTGAAGTTTATACCAAAAACTTCAGCATCATATGAAAGGAGTGGGTAACATACGTAACATTTGGTGAGTGATTTTTTGTAAATAAAGTTATTATTTTTCGATTTAATGTTTATGATAAATAATTGAATTTGAGATTCTACTTCATTTCAAATTTATATTCCCGTGGAGACTTTTGATTATGTTCGGATCAGAGTCATATATTCTTAACTTCATTGCCGCTTATGGGATTAAAGATAGTTGGATAAAATAATGCAGATAACTAGAGACTCATCGTTTTTGGAGTATGCAAGCAGTTTCTTCCAAAGAAATACAACACCGATAAGCAGAGACGGTAGATTTTAAAGAAATAACGTTGAAAATTCGATCAGAACGCAGCAGATTTAGTTGAAGTTTCACGTTTCCTTAAAATCATTATAAAATGTTAGTACTTCAATTTTTCGAATCCTTAAACAAATGTCCGGCCATGCGTTGAGATTAAAGATCTTGCCGTGTGCCGAAACTTTTTTAGAAATAGACAAATTTCTTTTACGCACGACTTTTTGCGATACTAATTCGCGATCTATCGAAGTAACTGTACTAAGGAGATTTTTTTAGGCATTACTTGCATTTGATTTGGAAAAGAATAACAGTTAAGTGGTCTGTTCAAGTAACAAGTTCGAGTGGACAAGCGATTTGCTACTTCGATTTTTTGATTTACATAAAGATCACTTAACAAAGATTCCTCATATAAGTCAGATATACCTTCGGCAATAACATTGTAGGGATATAGAAAATTAATGACCACTATTGAAATAATGTGTTTTTTCATTTTAGCAATTTTGCCATAATAATCGGTTTTAGGCAAACCTAAATCATGAGTGACTTATGTAGAGATATGATTTGGTGGAGAGTAATTGCCCCTACAAAGACAGTAATGTACCTTCGGTCTGAGCTTAGAGTTCCAGAAGAGCAAATTTTCAATTCAGTTCATTACTTAATTTCAACTCTAGCTGGTGAGGCTGCCACCAAGGCGGAATTCTACAAAACAAGCCAATGGCGCAGAGTTTAACGCCGATTAACTCCTATTTTTTGTTGTACAACTGGATTAATTACAGCAGAAAATATTGCAAAAATCTAGTAATCACCATTCTTCATGGTATTTATATACATTGTGGCCCACTTTTCCTCTGCCCTTTGCAATTCTGCTTACTGCCTTAATATGCTTTTCTTTATTCAAATTGATGAGATAATTACCATAATTTGCATACTCTTCAAGTCGCTCTTTAAAAATTGCTGCAACAGAAAGTGGCAATTTTAAATCATTGGCCGCGACCACTCTCTTACCGCCAGACAAGCATTTTTTGCATTTTTCGTAATCGCTTACCACCGCCTATGCTATCAACTTAAAAATGAAATTTTTCGCTTTTCTGCGCTCATTAGTGCAAAGAATTAACGGAACAGTTGCTAGATATCAACTCGCATGCGCTTTATTTGTGGCTTCTTGTTATCGGCAGACAGCAGTCGGACGGCAACACGGGTAGACAGCCAACGCAACGACCAGCCAACCGTTCAACCTGCCAGCCAACCGTCCATTCAGCCAGTCAAGCAAACAAAATTTTTAGTTTCACTGATTTCGCCGCGCAATTCCAATAAACTCGCTTAACTGCGAGAGTGTTTGTTATGTGTGTATGTGTTGGTATGACCACTACGTGTGCGTCTGTCTGTGTGTTTGTATGGGCGCAAAAGCAATTAATTTGATTGCCTACTTACAGTTCACATTCAGCGTGACAGTTGTCTCCAGCTTATGACCCTCGGAGATGGCACGATTCCAAACGACGCATTTATATTTGGCGCCATCGTCAGCGCGTCTTGGCAGTATTTGTAATGTTGCATTGGTGTAATGATTCTTGGAGCCGCCTTTTAGTATGTACGATTGTAACGGTACGCTGCTGCCCTCGCGAAACCAACTGCAATAACAATAAAAACATGTATCACGGCATAAAATGTGAAAAAGCCAGAGAGAGAGGGAGAGTGAAATATTGTAAATGAAGAGAGTACATATATCACATACAAGCACATACTTACAGACGTATATATAACAACTTACATATAAAATATATATATAAGTACATGAAATTGTATATATATTAAAGTCTATTTGTACAATCAAGTGTAGCTATCGCTTGGCTGGCGCATTAGCGCACGATGCTTTGGCGAAATTACAAAATAATTTATCGAATTTCTTGTCCGACTTGACTGTCTTGCATTGCTCATTCTATGTATGGGTTGGTTTATTTATTTGGCTGTGTGTGTTTAAGTGTGCTTCTGCAGCAAATCGTTTTACTTTTCGCTGCTCATTTCTTTTTAATTAAGTCTTAATGTCGCTGTGGCTTCAGTGATTCTTTCGTACTTTGCTTTGTGGAGTACTGGAGGAAAGTAGATAGCGCGTGTGTAATAGAAACTGATACTAGGCGAAAAATGTCTAATTCGAATTTAAAATAATCAGCCTATACTGTAATAAGACAAGTCGTACTGTAAATATATTTTTCAAATCCGTATCAAAATTTGAATTAAATAAGGGCTTTCTAAATTTAAAATTTTTTTCGAGCAATAGGAAAGAAGGAAAAAAATAGACGTCTCTTTAAGGGTTTAATGTTTTGAAAATTTAAAAAGAACCGTTTTCTCAAATAACCAAGGCATACACAGTAAAGGTGTATAAGATAGAATCTTTCGGAGGAAATCTATTAGGCTAGACCGGCGGCTACTTAAAGTTTTGATAGTGATTTTCATTGTTTTCAAAGGCGGTGGTCAAAAATTAGTGCAGCGAATTTATTGAAATTTTTCAAAGTCCCTCTAAATAAGATGATCTCGTCCTCGATTTTTGTTTGTTTTTTTTTTATTTCAAGTAATCTTTTCAAGGCTATTTGTAGTGAGAATAATACCTAAATAATAGTTTTTCAGTTTACAGTTTGCCAAAATTAAATTTTTTTTCCAAATCCTTCAATTAGTCGCGACTTAAACTTATCCGCTAACTTTTGAAATTTGGTTACATACTAATAAATTCTTCTTCCGTTATGATGACCACCGCAAGGAGACATTGTTTATTATAGGGTTACATGGGTTTCTTAGGTTAAAAATACAACCTTTTTCCAACAATTTTTTCCCATATAAAAATTGAAAAATTTTATTAGAATTTTTATTGTTACAAACAAACACTATTAACAAAAAAAATTCTGAAATTAAAAAAAAAAAATTATTTTAAACTCCGATTTCGGTGATTCTTAGGTAAAAATCTGCGTCCGCGTTGTTAGCATAACTCGTTAAAGGATGTTCTAAAGTGACAAAACGTGTTTTAGTTAAAACCTTAACTTAGAACTTAGACGAAGGAAAAAAAAATATGAAAGATTGTTTTTCTTACAAAAAAATGAAACTTTCAGTGAATTTTTTTCAAATAGTTGTAGTCGAAAAAAAAACTTCATCCAAGTCTTCAATGATAGTATATCTAAGACCTGTGTAAAGTGTCATAAAGATCGCCTGGTTCTGGTTCAATCTTTTCAACCGACTTCAAAAACACAGTTTCGGGTAAAAATTGGTGTAAAGACGACGCACTTAGCCAAGTACGAGCGCATAAATTCTCAAGGCTATATCATCGAAACTATTACGCGGATCAATTTGTAAATTTAATACAATATTCTAGAGGTGTTGTAGAATTTATGGAGATAAAAATATCGATTTTTTTAAACCCGTAAACGCAGGAATTCGTTAACAAAATTTTGTTTTGAAAAATTCACAAAGTATTACTCAAATATTACTTTTTGATATGCTCAAAACTTGAGACAAACTATTTATTTTTTTGTTTAAAAAAATATATTTATGAAATACGTTTTTTAGATCATCAAATGCCACATAACTTCTTATTAAAGTACGCTCAAGTGGGCGTGGGTTTAGTTGTTTTATGGATTCAAATTAATTTTATATATTTTATTTATATATAAACGTCACAATGGTATGAAAGAGTTATATTTATGTTTAAAGTCCTTAAAAATATTTTTGTAGAACATAACGGTTATATGGTTCGAAGTAGATTTAATTCTATATTGTTTATAGTTGAATACAGTTGTGGACACAATTATCGGAGCAAGCTAAGTTTAACAGCAAAATATGACGTTTTCATTTGAAGAGAAATCAAACTCATTGCGGCCTACATTAGCAAAATAAAATTTTAGGAAATACTCGATTAGTTTATTCAAAATATATATATTTATATATTTTATTCAACATACATATTTCTTTTCAAGAGTTAAATATAGTGATTATAGCGACGCTCCAACTTTTCTATATCGTTTTTGTGGTACGATTTGTCCTTTGCTTGAAAATAGGCCTCAGTTTCGGCGATCACCGAATTCATTCATTGGACCAAATTTTCTTCACAACAAGCATTGTTTTGATATCTCAAAACAGGAAATAATGGTTGGGGTGCTAGATATGGACATACATTGAATATGGAATTCATTTGAAGAAAAATTCATGGATTTGAGCCAACGTTTCCACTGACTTGTGAGAGCGTGCATTGTCTTGGTGAAACAGCATTTGCTTTTTGTTCAAATGCGGCCACTTTTCGGCGATTTCGTTCTTCAAACGGCCTGAAAACTCTTTGTAGCAGTTGCTGTTGCTGGTCTTTCCCTTTTCAAGGTAAAAAATAGAATTTATTCCATGCGCATCCTAAAATGATGGCGTCATAACCTTGCCAGTCGACTGTTGCGTTTATCCACGCTTTGGAGCGCATTCATTGTGGACAGTCCATTCAGATGACTGTCGGTGGATGTAGAGCCACATTTTATCCATTGCCACATATCGATGCAAAAGTTCGAACTCATTAAGCTTCAACATCTCCAAACATGGCTCCGAATCATCAGCTCGTCGTTGTTTGATCAAAAGTGAGCTTTCGCAGCAAACAGAGCTTTTTCATACCCAAATACTCGTGAATTATATAATCTACACATTCAGTTGTTGTCTTTAGAGTGTCTACTATCTCGAAAAACCTCGTTTTACAGCCAACCAAGATTATTTTGTTGACTTTATTGATATTTTCTTTGGTAATAACCCATTTCCTCATGTCTAACCTAAGCATACCTGAAGCAGTGTTCGGTAACTCGTACTCACAATAGCAATTTTTAGTACTTTTTTTCGCTATTTTTCACAATAACAAAAGTTGCTTTATTAAAAATGATATAACTCGCTATATAGATCAAATTTTAGTAGCGCCATCTATGTGTCAGGCCGGTCTTTTCATTTGACCTTTTATTTCTAATTAAACATATTAACATTCTATAAAACATGATGCTTATTTGTTTTGATAGATTCGTATGTCTGGCAGCTTTATGATATAGTCTTCCGATTTAAAAAATATTTTTGTGGATTGTGACGTTGCATTGACCACTTATCTGTGTCGAAAAGATATCTTGTAAAATAAAAAACTTTCCCTTGAAAGGGTATTTTTTTGTTTGATCAGTTTGTATGGTAGCTACATATATGCTATATGAGCTGGTGTTTAGAAAGAAAAAAGCGTGATGTAGCTTAAGATTTAGCTTAACAAACTGAGGTAATAGTTGGCAAACAGGGCTAATCAATCAGTCAAATCGGCTTACCTCGCTGTTCATATAAATATATTCTTTTCAGTTCCGCTGACGTTTCTTCGTTAACACTCAACTTCATGGCAAAATAGAGCTGTTCAGGATGTAATAAAAATGTCTAAAATTCCAATGAAAGCCATTAAGAAAACGATTCAAGCTCTGATCGATAAAAGTAATAGAAAAGCTGAGATTTCTTTTCATATTTTTGTTCATATGTATAAAAAGAGAAATGCGTTATCAACTTAATATTTCTTTGTGTACTAATGTGCTTCACTGCTCAACTCTGTGAGAAATAGTCACTGATTTGCGAGGGAGAAACTTGAAACTTAACTGTGCGAAAAGTTAAATATGAAAAAGCTCATCAATATTTTATTGTATTGAAATTTGGTAAACGTTCCGAAAACCATTGTCAAATATGCAATGGACACAGCTATCACATCTATGCTTTAACTCAACATAAATTCCTCTGGTAAAAACATCTATATTCAATAGCAGTCAGTTTGTTCATTAGTGATACTTCAACTTCTCTTATGAAAGTGATTTGTTAATATCATGGTATCAGTTATCCAAATAACATAGAGTCTATGCATGACTGTCTTTTAAAACAGGTTTGGTGTGAGCAGTAGTTCCGTTTTTTTTGCAAGGTACTTACTTCCAATCCAAAACATATTCGTTGAACAACTTTCATTACTTATCTTTAGTCAATATTGAGCTTTTTGTAACTTTATTTATGCACATTAAACATAATCTGCGAAATATTCGCCTACAGCTATTAGCGAAATTGGTTGCGCAACATCAAAAATGCAACAAAAAATTATAAAAATGAATAATTAAAATAAATCTCGCTGCACGTGAAGTAAATACTTACATACTAATTTACTACCAAGTTTTTAATGTTTCCAGCTGCTTTGTATGCCACCGCTTCACTGGAAATTATCCTTCATAAAGTACTACACTGCGTATACGTTACATGAAAAAATCCGTTTCTATTCGCACACTTTGTTCTTAAGTCAACATAATTTTCGAAGTCAATCAATTTAGGTTTACTTTTAATTTCATTTTGACCTTAACTTAACTTTGCTTTCCTTTACGAACAGTTGATAGCTTAGGCTTGATGTGGCTGCACTAAACGCAGCAAACCCAATCACACATATAATGTGCTACAGTGCGAAATAGTGGTAGATTGAGTGCTGAGGGCACTGTGATAGCTTTGCGAGGCAAAGAAAATTATGCTTTAAAATCTACCGAAAGATACATCATTGCAATGAATGCGCCATAGTCATTTCCTTCAAACAGGGTATTTGCGTAGTAGTTCTGCGATAAGTGAGGCCCTCTCTGGCAGAAATTTAAATTATTAATAATTAAAACTGTTTTTGTTTTTAGCTGTAGAAGGCAGCACTGTGTTCGATATAGAATCACTTCTGCAGCAAAAGAAAAGATATAGAAAATATTACTAATGAATAATGATTGTTAACAGACTTTTGTAGAAGCATCGCTTTAAATCCATATCGAGTTGTGAACATCTTCAGCAGGAAAATTTTGTTAGCTAACCATTCTTTAGGAAGTCAATACGCATTTCTGATCACATACTATCGTATGTTTGAGGAAGGAGAGTTCATAGATGCTATTTTCATGTCAGTAGATAACCATTGTTTATGCTAGATTCTAGGTGATGATAATGTTTGATTTGTCCCGACTGCAGAGTTCCATTTGGTATTCTGCACAGATCTTTCCTTGCTAAACTTATAAGTTTAATGTGGACAAAATGAGAGAAAACATCTCTTAATTCACGGTTGAGTTTAAGAAGCTCTTCAGTTTATTTTGGAAGGTATTTATGAATATGAAGTGGTTAAGTTCGCGAAAAAGTGTTAGTAAAATACCATTATAGTATTTAAGAAACTTCGAGTTTAATTTTTTAATGCTTTAATACGTTTGCGATACACTTTAATAAGAGTGTTTCTGAAATTTAGCTTTATTTTATTTTTTCTAAAAGAAACGGTTTTTTCCATTATGGAGTTATGAATAAACTCAAAAGCAACATTATTCTTCTTCTACGCTTATAGCTTTTATAGAAGTTTTGAGAAACTTTTGGTTTCATTCGTTTCGAAAGGTTAAAGTTTAGCGTTATAGTGTTTACGAAGCACAGAGTATAATTTAAAATTGAATTTTAAAATATTAATTGAGGCCATATAATACCTGAGCTCAATTTGACATGTACGAGTATTCTTAAGTCGTCCATTGTGAGGCTTACTTGCTAATATAATTCTTTTATGGGACCAGCAATTGTTTTATATTAATGTGTGTGTTTCTTGGATTTCCTTAAAGTTTGTTTTCTTATGGTGTTTAAAAAACTCCGCGCTTGGTAAAATCTGAGTTTAATTTAGTTTGTGTACTATTCAAAGTGACTTAGTGGGGCTTAAAAAAGTAGTGTCAAATGAAACTGACATTTTTTATTCGTATATAGGTGTGATTAATGAGGTGTTTAAGAAGCCCATTATTTAACTTATGTATTGTTAAAAGGGAAAGGTGCATTTTTTAATCTCTCAAACTGTTGAGGTTTATGTTTCCTCAAGACAAATAGTTACGATCAACTTTTCGACATTGTGAAAATGGATGAAATCGAATCATAACCGGTAGTGCGCGTGTAACAGTTAAGAAGGCGCGTGTAACAGTTAAGAAGTAAACCACTAAAAGTGCGTAAATTCCCTAAATAAATGCGTCAGAATCATTGAGTTTTGCACGTAAGGTGGTATGAAAGTGTTTCATAGGAGCCGGTATCAAATTTGCACCGGTCACTTTTTCGGAAAGTTCCATATTGGGATACAATTTCGCACAAATTGTTCTTTTTTATCGTATACGGTCACAGGTCTGAATCGTGTCATAACCAGATTCCCCACATACCGAATATGTGGGCCGCTTTACATATGGCTGACTTTTAGTGAAAATACCAGACAATCTGTGAGATACATTAATATGATTTTCTGTTAATAATATTAGCAAAAATGATTTAAATCGGGTCAATATTACCCATATGCCAAATATTAGGTTGTCAAAAAAGTCTTGCGGTATTTTTGTTTTTGGCGCTGAGAGCGCGTAGTTCTAGTTTTATTTGTCGCATCGGGTCATACTATACCTTTTCGGAAAGCTCATTTCAGGCGCTAACACGTGTTTGATTGACTGTCGTTTCTTCTAAGTCGTTCGTGAGTTATAGCGTCGCAAACATGGAGCAAAATAAAGAGAAAATACGGCATATTTTACTACGATAAAGGCAAAAATGCATCTCAAGCCGCCAATAAAATTTGTGCAGTTTATGGACCCTATACAATTTCTATTTCCACCGCACAACGATAGTTTCAACGTTTTCCTTCTGGTGTAGAGCTCGTCGAAGATGCGCCACGCTCCGGAAGGCCTGTCGTAGAAAATTGCAATGAAATGGCTGAATTGGTCGAAAGAGACCGGCATAGTAGCAGCCGTAGCATCGGTCAAGACAAACTATTATAAATATAATCAGGCAAGATGTAAGGCAATTCAATATCAAGCGAACGTGTTATAATGTAATGTACCGTAAACTACAAACGTAGGTTACCTTATTTATTTCCGAATTAGAAAAGAAAGACACATTATTATGGCTGAAATGCATACTTTAAATAAGTGTAAACAACACAAGCAACGTCCGTATGCCAAAACGTTCTAAGTATGTATAATATATAAAATTTTAGATCTGTGATGAAGTTGTGAGTTATCAGATTTTACCACGTGAATTGCCATATCTAAAAATGTAAAAGGCAACCTACATATATGGTTCAAAGTGGGCGTTATTTTCATAAACAATCTGTGGCAACATCTTTCCGAAAATACTAGAGTAAAGTCACAAATTAACGAAATCAGTCGCGACCGTCTTCTATCTCAAGTACATACGATATAATAATTTCTGATTATCTAGCAGACCTTGATATGTTTATGTTGGTTAATTTTCAGTTTAACTGACAGATTTTTCTCATAACTATATCCAATATATAATACTATATTTTGTCTCCTTGGCTGAGTTTAAATCATAGCTTACCATACCTCGCATGAAATTTTCGAACTGCGGCCGCCAAGCTTTCAATTTCTGATATATTGTACTGTAATGAAGGCATTTTGTTCTATCGTAAGTAAGTAAGTTCCCCCATTTTGACTCTTGCGGGAGTATAAAATCAAACTTTGCTCTTCCTTACTTTTGTTTCACTGTTGATTTGATTTTTTTTTTTTTTTTTTTTTTTTTTTTTTTTTTTTTTTTTTTTTTTTTTTTTTTTTTTTTTTTGATATGAGCTGTTTACAGTTTTAGTTTGAGTGTTTATTAACTTTACACATGAAGATGAGACAGGTACTATTCTTACTAGTTTTCACATATGCATAAAGATGGAGGTGCTAATAGGCAGACGACTGGTCTCATACCGAAAATATATACAGTTTTCCTTACAATTTTTTACTAACTCCGCTTGTGCTTTGTAAAGTTACGGATAGCTCTAGTATTAGATTATTACATTTGAATAATAACGCTAATAATTTTATCTTGCTCATCAAGTAGTTTATACCTGCTTTAGTGCTTTAAGTCCACTTATTTCCCGAAATCTACTTGTTTTTACATTTCCGCCTGTGTTGAATATGTAGTGTGTGTGTATGGGTATTTATTAACCTATCTAATATACATTCTATAACCATAGTATGTGTGTGCGTGTGTATGCTTGGTGAAACTAAATTTATTTACTTTCTATCCACTGACCTGTCGTTAAGTCACAATTTTCACTTAACAATTTCACTTTACTTACGTTATCGTCGGATCCGGTGAGCCACCCACACTGCTGCAAGTCAATTCTAACGGTTTATCCTCGGTGGCAATGGCTATGTTGCCCGGCGTTATCATGGGCGGATGTGGCGGTGTCAAAACTGTCAAATTGTAAAATTCCTGATGTACATCGGCACCGGTGCCTTTGGCCTTGATCCGACACTCGAAGCGGCCATTATCGCGATTGTATGAGGTGTTTTTTATTTGCAAGTCATAAATCCCACGACCTGGACGAAAATCCACTCTGCAAAAGGAGAACAAGGACAAAATGTGTAAGAAGAAGATGGTGCAGTAGAGAATGGCATGAAAGTGTGTAGGAAAAATTCATATAGATACAGATATTTCTTCATTTTTTTTCTCGGTTTTTTTCAAGTACCGTGGCAACTGCATTGTGAACGCAAGGAGAGAGGGTGGGGGTGGTGGTGTTTGGGGCATACATATTTATATTGAAAAAGTGATAATGGTGAAAGCGTGCAAAATGCTGGCTACCGACCAGTGATGGCAGCAGCTGGCTAGCCACTCAGGGCAACAGCTGCGGTTGAAGCTCCCAGCTATGAGAGCTTTGCCTGACGCTTGACGGTCGCCGCTGCTGTTGCTGCCGCTGCTGTTGCTGCCGCTGCTGTGGCAACAACTAAGTTATTGTGTGCATGTCAAAGCTATTGTATGCACAGCGGCTACATTACCACTCGGTTGCTGTGGCGGCGCAATGAAGGACAACGTTGCCGATGCCCCCAACCAACAGCTCAGCCAGCACCTCAGCACCTCCTCACTGCCTCACTACCGCATTTGCTCCAATTTCGAGTTGGTTTGTTTGTTGATTTGTTTGTTTGCTGGCTGGCAAGTGAAAATTAGAAAATGGCAATGACAGCGCGTTTGCGCGCGCGCGCGCCAAGTGGCACAAGTAAACAAAAGTGTGTTGATGAAGTTGGCGCGGCAGCAATAGCGTTGGGCGGTGAGCGGCGGGCGAAGACTTGCCTCGTTGGTGGCAGCAGCTGCAGCCGTCGTTCGTGTTGTTTGCGTTTGGCTACTTGGCTACTTGGCCATTTGGGCATTCTGTGTGATTTACAACAGTTTGTTGCCTTGCTGCCTGCCCGGCCACCATTTTTCTTTTAGTGGCCGTAAAAGTTTTTCGCCACATTTCTTGGCGACACAAAATTATTTTCGCTCTCCGCCTTGAGTTATTCCTTTTTGATATTTTTATGTGCAAGTTTTTATGCGCTTTTGTGTGGCGAATCGCAGGTTTTGCTTTTAGGGAAATATTTTTAAAATATCTCATTTTCTTGCCACCATCTTTTCTGGGTCATTGTTTTCAACCGCTAATTTGTTTTTGGACTATTTCTGTGCGCTATTATGCAAAGAAAGATTTCTTGTCATGACAGCGTGGGGTGTGCAAGGTGTGCGTAGGTTTCGTGATTGTAATACTATAATTTCTTTAAGTTGTTGGTGAAGGTTGTGTTTATTACTTTTACTTCGAGTGAAACATAAAAATTACAATGACCAATATTAAGGCTTTATTAGCACGCAAATTGTATGGAATTTGATGTTTGGGCAATTCATTTAATATGACAGGATTTTATGCAGACCATCCTATCGGTTCGATTTAAACCGACTTTTTCTGACAAGTATCATCGAATCTTGAATTTCAATCAGTGGCTACAACAAAATGTTTTGACGATTGGGAGAAGCGTTGGCACATGTGCATCGCTTCAAATTGATGTCACTTTGAAGGCAATAAAATATATTTGGATGATGATTGATAAATTTTCGTTTTATTTATAAATACCAGATACTTTCTTGACAGAATGTATTACCATGATTCAATCACTAAAACAGTATTCCGGTATCCCTTATCAGTTAGACTTTTTATACTCTCGCAACAATGTTGCTAAAGAGAGTATTATAGTTTTGTTCACATAACGGTTGTTTGTAAGTCCTAAAACTAAAAGAGTCAAGTATAGGGTTATATATACCAAAATGATCAGGGTGACGAGTMGAGTTGAAATCCGGATGTCTGTCTGTCCGTCCGTCTGTCCGTCCGTCCGTGCAAGCTGTAACTTGAGTAAAAATTGAGATATCATGAAGAAACTTGGTACTCGTATTT